CCCTGCGGAGGGGGGCACAGGACGGGGTCCCGCGCTCAGCCTGCGTCCTCGGGAGGGCACCCGGGTCCGATGGGGAGGAGACAAGGAGCCGAACGATGACTGTGTGTGGGGAGGGTGGACAGGGAAAGAGGAGGCACCTGGCCCACTTCCCCTGGGAGGAAGGAGGCGGGGGTCAGCCAGGTGAGCCTACCAGCTTTAAAGGGACAAGAACTGGGTCCCCGGTGCCCAGCGCCGGTCGGCCCTGAACAAGAGCCAGTGACTTTGGGTGAATGAATGGATGAGTGAAGGAAAGAATGTGCATTTCCCCCAGGGCTCTGGAATCAGAGCCCACCACAATCCTCCCTCCAGATGTGTAAGGCCAGGTGGGAAGGGGGGGACCCGGGCACACCCTTATGGGTCAGTTGCTGGCACTGCTGGCCTGCCCTGCCCTGCCCCAGCCAGCACCAGGAAGTTTCGATGCAGGTGGGTCATTGACCACCTGTCTCAGCTCTGGCTGGGGCATCATCTAAGGAAAGTGAGGGAACCTTCCACCAATAAAGTGCTTAGAGTAGGGCCTGGTGCATGGTTGGTGCATGTCAGTGATCCTTACTATTTAACCAATACCGATGCCCAAGGGCCTGCAAACCTTGAACACTTCAAGATGAAGTCCCTATCTTGAGAAGCTCACCTCTAGAATGGGAGACAGGCAGGACATCGGTGTGGTAAGAGCTACAGTAGAGATGGGGACAGGCAGTGGGACAGCAATAGGGAAGAGGGGCTGGTTCCTTACCTGGGGGGGGGGCAGGGATCGGGAAACCCTTCTAAGGAGAGGGGCCAGAGTCTTGAAGAAAAAGTGAGATAGTCAAATGGGGGAGGGGGGAGAAAGGTGGTCCAAACTGAGGGAGCAGCACAGCCAAAGTATGGAGGCAAGAGAGAGGGGGCACTTTGAGGGGGTGCTGTGGTCCTTCCCTGTGATGGAAGGTGAGGTCAGGTTGGGGAGCTGGTGCCAGGAGAGGCTGAGATGCCAAACAGGGCCTGGATAGTGGAGCATTTTGGATGCTGGGAATAAATACAGAACTGAACTGAATTGAAATCTTTTGAAAATGGGCACAAGGCTCTCCCCAGATCCTGGATTGAGTGCTTTCAGTGAAGCTCAAAGGAATAGACAGTAGAATCTTTGGGTTTCACACACCCTGCCCCATGCAGGTCATGACGTCATCCCTTGTGGAGTTCAAAGCCAGGCAGGTGGAAAAGCACCCTCAACCCATGTTGAACCTCACTGGGGACCAATGAGGCAGCTGGGGCAGGAGTCACTGTCCCCATTGCAAAGAGGCAGAGCCCAGACCCCTGACTCTTATTCCAAGCTCAGCCAGGGCCACAGTCAGCAGGAGGGATGGAGCCTCATCTGGATGGAGGGAGCATCTCATGACATCCCCACCCTTTAGGTGCTCTTTCCTCCCCGAAACTGCCAAAGGGCTGAGCAATGACTTGGCACTGAGCTGGGTGTGTAGCCACCGAGCAGGGCTCCCCGCCCCAAGGAGTGGTGGGAGGGGCCCCGTCCCCCAAGGATCAGCTGTCAGCCTTGTCATCCTCTATTCTCCCCACTGCTGCTGTCATCGGGCTTTGGGTGACAAGGCTAGGAGGCAGGTGGGGCCAGACTGGAGGTGGAGGGAGCTGAGAGTCAGGCAGAGGCGTTTGGCCTTGGTTGCTATAGGGATAATCATTATAATGACATCCTTGACGTATGTCATGCCTTACAGTTTCACTGAACATTTCCTAAGAATAACAACGCCCATTAATGGATAGCTAACTGCGTGCCGGCACTGTCCCCTAGCAGGTGGAAATTGTTAGCCCCATTTTACAGATGAGGAACCCTGGGGGGCAGAGAGGTTAAATTCTTGTCTAAGATCCACAGCTACTAAGAGGCAGAACTTGAGTTTGAATCCAGGTCTGGCCACACAGCAGGTCTCTTTCGTGACATCACACCTCATATGCATTATTTCATTCAGCCGTCAGACTGTGACGTGAGCAGAGCAAGTGATCTGCTTCCTTCATTCTACAGATTTGGGAACTGAGGCTCAGGATGTTATGTCTGATTGACTGCCTGGCTGGACAAAGAGGGGAAAGGAAGGAAAATGGAGCAGGGAAGAGAGAAAGGAAGGTTGGTTGACTCAAAAGAATAAACAAACTGGAGAAACGAAAAACAACCAAATGACCACCTAGGTGAGAATACAGTGCATGACCTGATGGCAGGGGCAGCAGGCAGGTGACCACCTTCCAGCCTCCATGCGCTCCAGTGCCCCCTGGCCTCGTCACCTTTGCCGCATTTTTGACCCCCCCCCCGACCCCCTTCTCCCCGAGGCCGGGAGTCCCCTGGGGCCCCAGCCGAGTCTCTGCTGCCGCCTCGTGGCTGCTCCGTTCCCTGCACCATCCCGGCCCCGGCTGCCTGTTCTGCTGGGAGTTCCTGGCTTGGGGTGTGGGGCGCTTATGAGTGGTTGACGGAGGGGGAAAGTGGATGCCGGGGGGTAGACTGGAACTTCAGAGGTCCAGTGCCCCTGGGGATGGCTTGGCAGCGTCCACAGACCCTTTGCTCCTCATGCCTCCCTCTGTGCCCTCCCCTCCCTTTCAGCTCAAACACCAGGTCTCAAGAGATCTTGTCTTTGGCCAGAACTCTTCCACCCGAAGCCCTGACCTCCTGTTCACTGAGCATCTCCTGAATGCCAGACACTTGGCGTGTGTCACTTCATTCCATCCTATTATGTGTATAATTCTTATCCTCCTTTGATAAGTAAGGAAACTGAGGCCCAAAGAGGACAGATGATTTGCCCAAGATCCCACAGCTGGTAAGTGGGCGAGCTGGGATTCTAACCTAGGCATTTGGGGTCTAGAGCTCCTACACACAGAATCCCCGAAAGCCAGAGGTGGGGGAGGGGGCTTCAGAGGCCTTTCTGACCAACACATTTATTCTTCAGATGGGGAAACTGAGGCTCTCTAGAGCAAGGGACCTGTCACACAGCAAGTAAGCTGTAGGCCCAGTCTATGGCAGGCGGAGCCTGTTCTCCGGTTTCCATCTGTCTGGCCTCTGTCAGATCCACTCCACTCCAGCTATCATTTAACTGGACTCCTATCCTCACCTCCTCTCCCTGACCTGCCATTATGGATCCTGGTGGGTGGAATGAGAAGGTTGATAATGGGGTGGAAGTGGCAGAGAGTGAGGGGGCCCTGTGGCCCATCTTTTTTTTAAAGATTTTTTTTTATTTATTTATTCGAGACAGAGAGAATGAGAGAGAGCGAGCACATGAGAGGGGGGAGGGTCAGAGGCAGAAGCAGGCTCCCCGCCGAGCAGGGAGCCCGATGCGGGACTCGATCCCGGGACTCCAGGATCATGACCTGAGCCGAAGGCAGTCGCTTAACCAACTGAGCCACCCAGGCGCCCCCTGTGGCCCATCTTATGTTTATTTAGCCTTTCTGTTTGTCCCTTTAGGCACCTGTCAGCATAGTCGGCTGAGGCAGGAGAGAGGAAGTGAAGCTCTGAGCGGCTGCGGGCGCTAGGCTGGCTCACCCCACCCCTCCCACACGCAGGCGTGGCCCAGTGTGGTCAGGTCACTGACCTCCATACCTGTCCTCTTGGATGCAGTGCGGCCTGTCCCTGAAGCATCCCAGACGAAGGGGGCCTGGGACCCTCGAGCCCTGTGGGAGGCAGGCCTCCTGGGGACTGCTGGTGATTTCCACCTAGATCATCCTCCTATACTTGCTGTGATCTTCCAGGGCAGGGGAGGGAGAAACTAGAGCAGCCTGGGGGAGTTGGGGAAGGGGGCAGTGTGGCCTGACGGTTAAGAGCATGAGCTTTGGAGCCAGACAGCTGGAGCTTGAGTCCCAGCTCTGAGGCTTTCTGGCTGTGTGATCTTGGACTAGTTACCTAACTTCTCTAAGCTTCTGTTTCCAGACCTGCAAAAAAGGGGATGACAACAGTACCTCCCTCTGGGTAGGCAGGGTTGCAGGACTGCGGCCTGGCACTGGCACCCACTGAACTTGGACGACCCTTTTCTCCCTAAGCCTTTCTTTTGGTTCTCTTCTCCTCAGCCTCCCCCAAATTTGCTCTCGCAAGGTTGACGAGGTGGCCCATTTTTTGCCCGCTCCTGCCCTTTTGTGTATTGTTCCCTCTTCCAGAAATGCTTTTTTGGCCTTGTCTACCTTTTTCAGCCTTATGGTTCTTCTTGCCCTGAAGACGGCTCAGCGACACCACCAGGAAGCCCTCCGTGGTATTCTCTATTGCCATCCTCCCCACCAGGCCTGGCTCAGGGCCCCTTCTCGGAGCTTCCCAAGCAGTCTGATGGCATCGGTCCTTGTGATGGTCTCCCCAGCCAGACGGGGGCCTCCTTCCCCTCTGCGTACCCAGCAGCAGGGCGGTCCACTCAGAGCAACCCACACAGAGACCCAAGTCCCTGATTCCTGGAGAAGAGACCAAGGTGATTTGGGGCTGAGCCAGGCTCCCCGGAAGCCCCCTCCTTCCTGCCCCAGCTTTATTTTGGTTCTAGAATCATTCCAGTCAGCAGACTCGGTCCCCACCGTGCCCGTCCCCGGTACACAGTCCACAGTTCATGCAGTTAGAGGGAGGGAAGGAGGGGGAAGAGAAGGGGGGTGTAAATGGCCTGCCTGTGCTGCTTAGTCACTGGGGCAGGAAGAGTCTGGGTCGCCCCGGCTGCAGAGGCTCACCAGCGGTGTCCAAGGACCCCGTGCAGACCTCCTGGTGCCGGCCCCAGGGCTGGGCCACAGCCGTGTCAGGTGGGGAGGGCCACAGTTCTGCCTCCAGTCCCATGACCACCCTGGGCTCTCCCAGCCGCACTGGGTGGGGGGGGCGCTGGTTGGGCCTGGGTCTCCCTAGCTCACCAGTGCCAGAGGCAGCCAGCCCGAGAGCCCTGCCCTGACCTGTGGGTGGCCCCAGGGAGCAGATACCACCCTCCCCCACCCCATCCCTCTGAACTGGCAGGGGCACCCACCCCTCAGCTGCCTGCTTCTCTGAGGCCGCCTCTGGTGGATGGGGGCTGCCTCAGCCAGGGACAGCTGGAAAGTATGCACGCTCTTCCTCAGCTGGGGGGTGGGGGGTGGTAGCCAAAGCCCTGTGGGGCTAAAGAGCCCAGCCCCTTTGCTTCTCGGCAGGACCCCTCTGGGGGGCCAGTCACACAACAGAGGTCCTCAGGCCATCAGGCTAGAGCTAGACACTCCAGAAGCCATAACATGCTTAGCTTCTGCCCCTGCTCATGGCTTTCCTCTCTGCCCTCCAGTCTTCTCCAGAGGGAGAAAGGCTCCCTGCCCCCCTCCCAACCAACCCCTTGCCTGAGAATCTCAGGATCCGCTTCTAGAACTATGACCTAGGACACTGGGTGCCACCTCCTTCCCAGTCTGGCATTCAAACCTGCTCCCCCCCCACCCCACTGCTCTCAATCCGGATGCCCCTCGACTTCCCCTCACTGTCCCTGCTCAGGCCGCCCCTTTCCTCCAAGGCCCACAAAGGCCTCTCCCACGGACCCCCTGCAGTCTGTATTCTGCCTGCCCCGCTGCCCACCAGCTACCCACAGGCTGAGGCATCTTTCTTCCCAATAGGGCCTGGCCTGGAGGTATGGAGCCAATGCCTAATTCAGTTGAGACCGAACACAAGGACCTCTGGGCCTTGCAAGGGTTATGGATCAAGGGAGCGGATTTCATAGAGCGTGACTCCAGAGCCAGCGTCCACCTGCAGGCCTCTGCTTGGCCTAGTCTCCTGGTCACTTCTCCTGCCCAGAGGCTGAGGACAGGTTGTGTCGGGGAAGTTCATGTCCACCTTGCTTGGGCTGGCTGCCTGCCTGCGATACTCAGTTCCTCTCCTGCCCCTCAGGGCACGGCTCCCATCTTGTCCCTGCAGCCCCCAGAGCTCTGCCCCGGCCGCGTCCAGCACTGAGCGGATCCCCAGCGCAGGGGGGTCTTGTCTTCCGGCCATCCTAAGGGCCGTGTCCTCTTCGTGTCGTGTCTGCTGGTGTCTAGCACAGCGTCTGGCCCCCGAGACTCACGAGTTTCCCGTACATGACCCAGCTTAGCCCTGGCCTCCCAGCAGGGGTGGGGCGTGGAGAGCCCTGAGAGACTAAGCCCCAACACCCCAGGCTGAGGGACAGGCCGGTTGGGGATCTCAAAATGGGAGCATGATGGGCCAGTGCCAGGCTGCCTTTCCTGGGTCGTGGCCCAGTTCCAGCTGGCCCTCCGTGGGAGAAAACCCTGGGTTCCTAGACACCTGGCCAGGCCCACTCTTCCGTTGCAGTCTGGACAGAAGGACCAAGATGGCTCATGGGGGCTCCGGTGGGGGACCCCAGCACTCATGGCTCCCACTGGACTAGGGAGGGGCATCGGAGCTGAGCATGGGCCAGGCCCCGGGCAGCTCGGTGCCCACCCCGGCCCGTTTTGCTGACTGCTAGTTTCGCCGAACGGCGTGCCACATGGACACGGGCCTACGCAGCGTGGCCAGCATCTGGTTCCAGTGTGTGGTGCCCATGCCGCTGGCTGACGGCCCGATAATGACATGGCCCACGTTGTCCCCTCGGCCGTCACTGCTGCTCTCAGCCACCGTCACACGGAGAGACAGGTCCTGGGGAGGAAGTGACATGGGTGCTGGGGACCGGGTGCCAGGTCCCAGCGGGGGCCAGGGGTGGCTCCCTGAATCCTTACCCCTGATCTGCTTAGCCCCCCGGCTTCTGCGGCTGCCTCCCTACACAGTGGCAAGGCTGGACTGCCAGCTTCAAATGCTGGCCTCACCACCTGCCTTGCTATGTGACCTGGGGCAGCGACTTGGGCTCTTCCCACCTGAGTTCCCCATCTGTGAAATGGTAATAATATTAGTTCCTACCTGTTCTGGGAACAAAATAGGTTAAAATGTGTCAAGTGCTTAGAATAGCCTGCACACGGAGTATTTTAGATGTCTCATTATTCCTAATATAATCCCGTGTTGGACTCATAGCTGAGGAAGGAAAAGAATGTGCCTGAAATCAAAGTGGTTGAGCTGGAACTGAAACCCAGCCTGACCTCCCTCCGTCCTCCTCCTCCTCCTGCCCCTCCTCCCCCACCTTCCCCCTGGTCCCAAGAGGTCTCCTGCTCTCAGAGGCTGTGTAGTAACACTGCGGCCACCTGGGGGAAGAAGGGGACAGGTGGACAGTCTGTCCCATGAGGGTGGCAGGACAAGGCAACACCCAGTGCCAACCAGAGATGCTGGGACGTTTGCCTGCATCGGGAACTCTCGGAGGGAGGAAGAGCTCTGGGCTTCCAAAATCAGATGGGGTGTCAGAGCCGGTGGGTTCTGTACAGCCCCGTGATTAAGGGGCAGGATTTGGCTCAAGGCACAAAAGGACGTTCTCACTGTCAGGAGTGCCCAAGGACGGAAGGAGGTAGGGAGGCGAGGTGGTAAGCTCCCCATCCTCTGAGGCATGCCAGCAGGGCCACTGGTGTGGCACAAGCCATATCCTCTGTAACCCCCCAGGCTTGGTCTGTGGTATCTACGCCGGGGAGGCGGGGGGGGGGGGGACCCCCCCTCCCTGGAGCACGTGACCTTCTGAAAGCCACGGCAGTGTGAGGGGCTCAGCAGGGCCTCTGCAGGGAGCGTCTCCAGAGATTTAGGGCCAGAGCTGTGGGCGCTTGGGTTAGCCCTGGCTCATCTCCAGGCCTTTGTAGCTCCTACGGGGAACTGTCTCCCCCCAGATCTCGGCTTAGCTCACCCCTCCTGCCAAAGCCTCCCCTGACCGCCAAAGTCTGGCATGCTCCTAGTGGATTAGGACTGTCTGGGGACTTTCTGCCTGTCCCTTGTGAGCACCAAGGAAGCAGTGCCTGTGTCCCCAGCCCTCACCATAGGGCTGGTACCTAGTGGGTGCTCCATAAATACGTCTCCACTAGAAAGGTGAGGGCTTGAGGCAAAGCATCGCCACCTGCGGGAGCCCTGAGACGTTGAGGCCGGAGTGGCTGGAGTGGCCCCAGAGCCCCCCACGCCTGAGCCGTGCCCCCCTCACCTGGAGCACGATGGCTGGCACCGAGAAGATCATGGCTTCGTTGAACACTGGGTTGGGGTCGTCCCTCTTCACAGCCGTCTTCTTTTTGCTCATCTTCCGCCCATCCTGAAGCAGGTACACCTTGACGAAGGGGTCTGTGGGCGAGAGGTGGGGGTCAGGACCAGGGCCACACTCCCTTGGCATAGGCCTGCCCAGCCCTAGTGGCCCGCTGGCTCCACATGCCCCAAACCTTCACTGCTGCCACCATCTCCTGCCGTCCTGCCATTGGGCCTCTATTTCTTTCCTATTTTACAGATGAGAAAACTGAGGCTCATGCACAAGTCAGGAGAAGAGCGGGGCTTTGGGCTCAGGCAGCCCGCCTCCTGGCCCCCACACGTGCACCCCGCCCATGGCGCTCAGCAGAGTCGGCAGACCCACCACTTCTCATTCTATAATGAGCACAGACGTCAGCCCTGAGTCACCCTGCGCCCGCTCAGTGGAGCCTGACTCTGAAATAACAAGTCGCTCTCTACTTGTCACCCTCCGCCCACTGGGTGTCCTTGCTGTACCCGCCTGGACCCTGGATTCCCCCCGGCTCCCGGCAGGTCGGGCTCCCCCCCCAAGCCCTCTGTTTTCAGTTCTGTTCTTGCAGGCTGGGGGCATCAGGTCCTGCCCGGTACCCACACCATCCTGGGGGTCCTGGGATCTGGGATGCAGTCCAACTCCTGGGAATGGAGCCTCCACCATGAATTCTAGTTCTGGGGAGCAGGTGTCCACCTTGGTTTCTTCCTAGTGCCCCAGCCTCCTGCTCTCAGACTCCAGTCTGTCCCTCCCGGGCATTCCCTGCCACCCTCGGCTGCTCTCAACTTTCCCCAGCTAGACTGATTTCCCCACTGTGCACGGCTCCTGAGCTCAGCCAAGACCGGGGGTGGAGGGGCCTGGCACCGTGCCCCACACCTGCTGATGCTCCCAGGTGTCCCCGGCTTATCAGCTGGGCCACCGCTCCCGGCAGCCCACATGAAAGAGCCGGGGAGCCAGCAGGGCCTTACCTGCTGTGGTCTTGTCGTTGGTCCAGATGAGATTCTTGGCTTTCACCACCACCACCGTGAGGCGCTCAGCCGTCGGGAGGTAGCTGAGGGACAGCAAGATCTCGCCCACAGCGTCCGCAGCCTGGAGGACACGTAAGTGACTTAAGGCCTTGAGGGAAAGGCAGAAGCTTCCTTCTCCACTGAGAAGTTGTTGCTCTTGCCTTTCTACCAGGCACCGGACTGGTGGGATTGAGAAAGGGACCCCAATCCCCCATTCCATGAGGGGTGCGTCATCTCTCCCTCCTACCGGGTGTGGGTCCTGCCTTGGAAGGAGGGCCAGAGGTCGCCTGTCAAATGTGGCCACCAAACGCAGTTAGCGTCCCTCTTTCCAGTCCAGGGAAAACATTCTGTGTAGTAGCACATAGAGGTCCCAGGGGACTGGGACTGGGAGATCATTTGCTTAAATAACAGTGATGCTCCCCAAGCACGCCTACACTTATAGAGGTAAACTGCAGCTCGGCCTCTGTCTGGAATAACTCCCTTTAGTGCCAGAGCACCTCCCAGCAGAAACCCTCTAGGAGTAGAGCTTCTGAAGGTTTGGTGGTTGGAGCAGAAGAGCAGTAAACAGTGGTTAGAGCATCTTCGTTTCATGCGGTAAACGGAGTTTCCTTGAACGCGGCTCAGGCCTCTTTCTCTCATTTCCTAAAGATGCCGGGGTTTGGGCTGTTGTGGACAGTGGGGTCCTCCCTCTGCGAGAGGTGTGTGTGACCCTCTCTTCACGGGCGGACTGACCTTGTTCTGGTCCTGTAAGTAGAGCCAGCCGCTGAAGGGCTGCAGTGGGAGGTCGAGCACAGAGAGCTTCAGCTCCACCACCCCTGTGCTGACATTCCGCTCATCCTCATCGATGCCAAACACAGAAAACCGCAGGCTCTTCTCCTCCAGGGCGGCAGGGTCCAGGGGGATGGAGAACTTCTCATCGAAGAATATGGAATAGGCATTCCTCTGGATCTGTAGAGAGAAAGGGACATGGAGGGAGCTCCAACTCTGGGAAGGTGGTGGCAGCCAGGGGCCTATGGTGGGGAGAGAGCACTGGGCAGAGAGTCCAGAGGCCTGGGCTAGAGTCCTGGCTCTGCTGCCCCACAACCTCAATGCCAATTCTTCCTTTGGTGGCTCAGCCCTGAGAAGTTCTTTAAATTTATTTATTTATTTATTTTAAGTAGGCTCTATGCCCACCATGGGGCTTGAACTCACGACCCTGAGATTAAGAGTCATGTGCTCTACTGACTGAGCTAGTCAGGCACGCCAGCCCTGGGGATTTAAAAGCCCCCGTCTTCCTCTCCGTGGTGGCCAATCTGGTAGTGTGGCATTTGAAGCTTCCAGAATCTGACACCAACTAATTCCCAGCCTCAGTGCCCATGGCTCCACAGAACCCTTGTGATGTCCTGGTTGGACCGGTTTCCTCTTTCTTGCACGAGTTCAGGTCCAGCTGTGGGCCAGGCATGCAGTAAGTACAGATAATCGTGGAGTTGGGAGCTGCTGATGTCCCAGCCCCCGCAGAGCCTGGCCCAGGATGGTCTGAATGCGTGGGATGGATGGACGGATGGAGTGACGAGGCGAGGCTGGGCAGACTCCACTTCCAAGTCCAGTCCTGCCTGGTGGGCGCCTTTGGCCTCCTCCCAGGAAGCCGTGGGCAGGCCCCCTGGGAAGGTGCCCTGGCGGGCACGGCTCCCCCTTCCATTGGGGGCTGCCTTAGTCACTGCCTGGCAATATTTAGAGAGGAGCTCTCATCCCTGGCACCGTGCCTGAAGCTGGGGGGTTGCCCAGCCTGGGGCAGCCACCTACCTCCTGGGAATGACTGGGCTACAATGCTAAGAAGCCTGCCTTCTTGGGAATAAATCCGCCAACACCTCCTAGCGCACTGAAGCACGCTCTTTGGTCACTGCCTGGGTTGTGGGAAGGTTCTTCTGCCACCGCTCCCTGGGAGCCACGTCCCACATCCAGTTCCCTGCCTGAGGATCTTCAAGGGCTCCTTCCCCTGTGGAATAAAGTCCACCCCCTGATCTTGACCTTGGCATTCAGGCTCTTCATGATCTCCCTTCTCCTGCCAAATGGGCCACTTTGCCGTCCCTTGCCCACAGGGGCTCAGGTTCCCTGACCATCCATTCTCTGTGTGTTGTGCTTTATGAGCACATGGGGGGAGGAAAATGGGAACTCCAGGGCCACGTCCTGGATCTCCTGCTCACTTGCTGGCGTTGTGTTGGGCAAAGCACTCTCTTGAACCTCCTCATCTGTAAGATGCCCTCGGTTCATCCCACTGGGGCGAATGAGAGAATCACGGATGTATGGGCTCTGTGAACCAGGTTCTGAGCACACATCAGGCTGTGGTGGTTCCTGTCTACCAATGTCCCTCTTCAAGGAAGGTGTCCGGAACCACTCAGGATCTTCTAGGCAGTCCAGGCCATTGACAGCATGGATCCAGGCTCAACAGTGACACTTCATGGTCCTGAGATACAATCTATTGAATGCTTACCAGGGACTGGGCTGAGTTCTTTGCATATATTAATATATCCCTTCCTCAAGGATTATGGTGCCCATTTGATAGATAGGGAAATCGTGTCACAGAGAGCTTACATGACTTATCCAAGGTCACGCTGCTAGGAAGTGGGAAACTGCTATTGGAACCCAGAGAGTGAGGTTTTAGGGTCCTGCTCCTCACCACCCACTGGACTGCTTCTCTTGGGCCCCACATGTACTGGGCCGTGGTCAGTTGCTGACCATCCAGGAGTGAGGGGGGCAGCGTGGGGTGGGAGAGGGATGACACTGTCCACCACGGAGGAACAGCCAACTTCAGCATGGTAAGAGTGACTGGACACAGGTGGGTTTCTGAGGAGTCAGAAACCACTTGGTCCTACAAGCCCTCAGGTTCTTTCTACTCCAGTTAGAGGCCACGGGGTGTCAACCTTGCCCACCTCAGAGGACTCCCAGTCATGGCGTCTGGACCCCTTTTACCCCTAATCCAGCCTGGAGGGGAGTGTGTCTCATGAAGGCTTTGCTCCCTCTTGGCAAGACAGAGGGACCCGCGAGGGGTAGCCTGGTGTGGGAGGGTGCTGGGTGTCTCCCCTTGCCCTCCCCAACCTGCTCTCCACCCCAGGAACTGACCTCTATCAGCTGAGCAACAGGCTCCCTTGGCCTCTGGCTTCTGGTGGGATCAGACAGTAGGGGTCACTCAAGGGAAACCAGAGGTCAGCGGGAGCTCGGGGTGCTTATTCCCTAGGTCCTTCTCTGCAGTACTGTGTAGTCTGACCATGTCATGTCCCTTGACCAAAGGACACAGCGTCTATCAGGGTGGCCCCTCCACACGCCTCTCTCCTTTTGGGTCCAGTAGCCTCCCCTTCCCCTTATCCCTTCAGAAGAGGGTCCACTCCATCTCTGACATCACCTTACACCCACCCACACCATTGTTTGTTTTTCTTAAGATTTATTTATTTATTTTAGAGAGCGGGGGCAGGGAAAGAGAGAGCGGGGGGGAGGAGGAGCAGAGGGAGAGGGAGAGACAGAATCTCAAGCAGATTGCCCGCTGAGCGAGGAGCCCAACACGGGCTCGATCCCACGACCCCGAGATCATGACCTGAGCCCAAGTCAAAAGTCAGATGCTTAACCGACTCAGCCACCCAGGCCCCCCCTCACCCACACCACTGTTCTGTTATTAAGCTCTCCCCAAATTAGCCAACTTGAACATGTCATCCCTTTCCTGCCAGGACCCTAAGCTGACCCAGGGGACAGGTGTGGAAATGGACAATTACCACACACTGGGCTCATGTGGTAGGATTGCCAAGAACTGCGCACGGTGTGAGTCCTCAGGTTAGCAGCACCTTCAGCTCTGGGATTAGCATCCAGAGCTGCCCTGCGGCACCCTCCTCACATCCGGCCTGGCCCTGCAGACCCGCCTGCCTGGGGAGGACTCCCGGGAGCCCAGAGCACACCCCTGCCCCGGCCCCCACTTACCCGGGAGATGCCCACGATCTGCTCATCGGGCAGCAGGCTGACGCGCATGAAGCAGGACTCGAAGCCGGCTTCTTCCCGCTCCAGGAGGTCCTTGCCCTGCAGCACAGCCACGTGGAGGGTGTGGGAGGCCGCATCGTAGTCCATGCTCACCTCCACCTGGCCCAGCGTGAAGTCCTGCCCGAAGGTGTTGCTCACGGAGGAGATGGAGTTCAGGGAGTCCGCCGACTGGGACTTGCGGAGGGTCCCGTAGGGGGCCAGGTCCAGCTCCCGGCCCATCAGCTCCAGGGGCCCCAGCTCGCTGATGCTCTCAAAGGTGTCCTCAATGCTGAGGCTGCCTTTGCGACTGGGTGGTCCCCGAGTGCTGGCCCGCTGGGCATTCCAAGCAGGCACTCTCTGGGGGTGAGAAAAAGGAACACAGGAGCATCACAATGCAATAGGCATGGTCTTGTGAGCCCGGTTCATTCGAGGCACCTCTAGTTCTCCTTTTGCAGAAATAATGCATGCCTTAGTCAGGAAGGTCCTTGATTTTTTGTTTGTTTTTTTAAAGGATTTATTTATTTATCTGGGGGGAGAAGGAGGGAGGGAGGGAGGGGGAGAGAGAGAGAGAGAAGAGTACAAGCAAGGGGAGGAGCAGAGGGAGAGAACATCCAAGCAGACTCCCACTGAGCATGGAGCCCAGTGTGGGCCTCGATCTCACAACCCATGGGATCAGGACCTGGGCCAAAACCAAGAGTCCAATGCTTAACTGACTGAGCCACCCAGGCGCCCAGGAAGGTCCTTATTTAATGCTATTTTGTGTCACTCAGTTTTCTTTCCCTAACCACAAGGGAAGAAAGCTTTTTCTCAAAATGTTTAGTGATGTGGACTGAGTTCCATACATAAAGATGTTCACTGTAATGATGTTTATAAAAAGGGAAAGTAGTTAGCAATCTAAGGCTCCAGTGAAAGGGGAATGGGTAAGAATCCTAGAGTAGAGCTATTCAACAGACGATCGAGCCGCCTCAAAGGATGTTTACCAAAACATTTACAAAAGGAGAAGTCTTCCATGTTGGATAACACTTGCCCTAATATTCAAAAATTTCTTTTCCCTAAACTGACCCTGGGATTTGAGAAAACAAAAGCCTTTGTACCATTAAGCATCTCCCATGCTGCTGCATAGTCTTCATTACCATAATTTTTAATGGGCCCCCAATCTGTCATTGAATGGATAGCTGTAATTTACTTTACTATCCCCCTACTGTTGTACATTTATGTTGTTTCTTATTTTTCACAAATATAAATAATGCAGGATCAAATAGCTTTCTTAAAATCCTAGCTCAGAGGACCTGGTCCTTTTGAAAGCTGTTGACACACGTTGCCAAAATGCTCTTTGGAAAAGTTGTGCCAATGTACTGCCCCCCCCGCCACCACAGAATGAGAGATAATCCCCTCACACCCCAAATGAATGAGCATGTGGGACCCCTATCCAATAACAGATTCTGGCTGTGCTCTCTGGAACTCTACATGATGTTAGAAAAATTCTCTGCCAGTGTCTAATGATGAAACATGCAGCAATATATTTCAAGAGCCCTAAAAATGTTTGTACTCCCTGATACAGTATCCTACACCTGGGCATCCACTCAAAGTACATAATCCCAAATGAAGACAAAGTTTTACATATAAAACATTCACTGCATTATTTATAATGGCAGTAAATCATGGCACGTACATAAAAAGGAATCCGACACAGCCATTAAAATGATGTTTATGGGGCCCCTGGGTGGCTCAGTTGGTTAAGCGTCTGACTCTTGGTTTCGGCTCACATCATGATCTCAGGGTCATGCAGAGTCTGCTTAAGACTCTCTCTCCCTCTGCCCCTCCCCCCTGCTCTCTCTCTCTCTCTCTCTAAAGTAAATGAATAAATCTTTAAAAAAATGTTTTATGATGGGGGCTCAACAATATGGGAAAATACTTTAGCTGTGAGTTAAAAAGAGCAGGGTATAAAATTCTATGTAGAATTGACACCCGTCGTATAAAAACTATGCACGGTAAAAAAGACTGGTGGGTAGATTAAAAGTACTGGAAAGAAATAAATCAAAATGTTAGTAGTTAAAATACAGTTCACGTTATTTGCCTCTGGGTGGTGGCATGTGGGGAGAGGTTTTTCTTATTTGTCTTTCCCTGTTTTTTTCACAGGATGGTTTTTAAAATTGAAAACATTCATTCCCTCACCAAGTATCCCCTGATTTCACAGCACTGGGCTATGGTGGAGACACGGAGGGGGACAAGGGTCCCTGTTCACAGGAGGAAGTTAACCAGGAGAGAACAAGGGAGTGGGGAGGGAGGGGAGGCCATCTTGAGAGAGCAGAAACCTCACCTTCTGCTTGGCCTCTGCGTAGGTCTCCCCGTACTTCTGCTGAAGGTACCTGTAGTCGTAGTTTGGGAACGGGGAGGGGCTGGGGAAGCTCCCCGATGTCCAGAGCTTCCACAGGCTCACCGCTGCAATTCCCAGCAGTGCCAGGGCCCCAGCAGTGTAGACACCCACCTCCCAGCCAGGGGGGCTCTTGATTACTGCAAGGCAAGGGCAGCCTCTCATTAGTAGGCTCTGGGGTCTCCCAGTGGTTATAGACTCCCACCCAAGGAGCAGGTAGTTCAGCACTGACTTCTTTATTCACTGAACAAATATTTACTGAGTGGCTACTATGTGCCAGGCTCCATGCTAGGTGCTAGGGGATCCAGGGTTGAATAAGACATATGTACTCCGTGATTTCTGCTTCTATCCCCTTTTTCACAAAAGCATGCATTTCTACCGGAATAGGATGGTGGTGGGGACGCTTGGCTAGATCAGACGAAGAGTTGTGAACAATGGTTAAACATTCCCTAGGCTTTAAACAAATTCTTCCCACTTTTGAGTTCTCTGACCTTATAGCCTTCCAAAGACCTCTTACTTCCAGATAATCAAAGCAGCCTTTTGAGGTCTGGGGGAAGAGGAAGGGGTTTGGGGAGAAAAAGGAATGACCCCGTTTTTGCCTCAACCTTATCTAGAACAACCCAATGTCCATCAACTGATAGATGGATAAATAAAATGGAGTCCATCTATACAATGGAATATAATTTGGCAACATAAACGTACTGGTACATGTTGTAACATAGATAAGCCTTGAAAACATCATGCTAAGTGAAAGAAGCCAGTCACCAAAAAAACACATGTTGTACGATTCTATTTATATGAAACGTTTAGAATAGGCAAATCCACACAGACAGGAAGTTGATTAGTGATTGTCTGGGGGGTTAAGGGGGCAATGCAGAATACAGGGTTGCTCTGGAGGATGATGAATGTATTCTTAAAGTTAAAAGTGTTGACGGGTACAAAATAGGTTAAATCCACTGAATTGTACTCCTTAAGCGGGTAAATTGTATGCTGTGTGAATTTTATCTCAATAAAGCTCCTGCCAAAAAAAAAAAAAAAGTCTCAGCCAGAAGTGAGAGGTAGCTTTTTGGCAGTGCAGGGCTTGGGCACAAATCCAGATGCTCAAATGCTCTCTCTCCACTGATAAGTAAAGAACTTTCCCTATCTGAGCCTCACTGTCCCCAGACATAGTAATTAACCGACCCCTCACCTGTGTTGGGTGAGCTCTCACCTAGCAGAAGTGACCTTCTGTTGGCCAATATAATTCTCTAGACCATTCTCAGTGCTGCCTCTATACTCAGTTCAAATGAGGAAACTGAGGTGCACAAAGGATAAAGAACTTGCTCAAGGTCACAGAGCCAGGAAGGGGTGGTCCTGGGATTCTAACTCGGGCAGCCAGACTTCAGAGCAAGCAGGAGTCTCCTCTGCCCCACCCAGCCTCGACCCAGCACAGTTCCGAAGTAGCAGGGTGGAAAGAGGTGGGAGGGCACTTCAGGGGTGGAGATGTATCACCGCAACATCTGTTGAACACCTACTGTGTGCGAGCACCCTGGTGAGGGAGTCAGCCCCAGGGCCAGTCCCTGTCCTTAAGTAGCTCACAGTCTAGGGATGAGGTGAATAGGCAAATAAACAGACAAAACAGAGTGATGAGAACAGTCCAGGAGGGCTTCCTGGAGGAGAGACATCTAGGCTGAGATACGAAGGAGGAGCAAGAAATGTGCCAGGCCAAGGCTCCAGGGACTGGGAGTTTCGGGCAAGAAGAGGAGAGGATGTACAAAGCCTGGAGTGTTCAGAGTGTCCAGTGGGAGAGAAGGAGTGGGGCATTTGGGGCTGGGGAGCTCCTTGCCACCCCTTCCCTGAAGCCAGGCTGCAAAGGGATCACACAGCAGTGGCAGCCCCTCTGGCAGTGGGAGACCTCAGCCTGCCCCTGCTCTCTTGAGCCTAGCCAGAATCCACAACACTATCACATTCGGGAGCAGGGCAGGGCCTGGCCTGTAGCCCTGGCATTTACCCAGAACTCAGCATCCTATGATCTCCCTACCTCCACCTGCTAGAGGAGGACAGCTGAGGCTGGGAGAGGCTAGAGAGCATGCCCAGCCATCGGCCCAAGGCCACGGGGTAAGAAATGCAGAGCCTGGCTGCCACCTTGACACCGTGAGCTTGAGCCTCCCCATCCAGAGAATGGACATGACCACATCCTCCTAAGCAGACGGTCCCGCCCTGGGGAATTTATCTTGCGGGGGCAAAAATCCCAGGAAGTTTTATATCTGGTGTGAGTCATCGAGGTTGTATTTATAACATCAGAAATCTGCAAACAGCCTGACGGGGTCACTGGGGCCAGGTGGTGCTGACTTGGGAGGGAAATATCACTGGCCTTTGAGAATTGAGGTCATTAGGATGTCACTGTGGCAAAGCAGGAAGACGTTTTCAGGCATTGTTGAAAGAAAAAAAAATGAATCCACGACATGGTCCAACCACACAGTTTGACGTAAAAATCACATAGCCTATGGACAAGGGCTGGGTGGGACGAGGGACAGATGAGAGGAGCAAGAAATCAGGATAGAGGGGCTGTGAGCAAACTCTGTGTTCTGATCTCTGTTGACAGAATGTAATTTGTGGGCTAACCGAAACCACAATAGAGATCTACAGAGGGCCCCAGGCAAGCCCTGCTGAGCCAGGAAAGTTCTGGGAGTCTGGTGAATAAGAGATGGCCTGGGAATGGGCCTGGTAAACTGGAGAGTGAGGTGCACATGTGGGGGCTCCGGCCGGGATGTGACTCGGTGGGCTCTCAGCAGGGCCTGGGTGGTTCCCAGGGGTGGGCAAGCGGGTGGGCACTGAGGTCTGAGGTCCCCGCAGACGATGGGCAAGAGCCAGGCTCCCCTGAGAGTTAGGATCCCAGGGGGGCTGAGGGACTGAAGCCAGCTTCCTGGTTAGCAGAAAAGGGGGGCAGAAGAGGAAAAGCCCCAGGAAGGTGACGCAAAATGATGCCTATTAATGCAAATTTATTTATCCATTTTATTGACTGCCAGCCTCGGGTGGTATGGGAAGAATTCCTAAGGGAAGCCAGGTCTCCGCTGGGACCAGAAATGAGGAGGAGGAGGCAGTGCAGTGGCAGGTAACAAAAGCTTCCTTGACTGTCAACTATTCGCCAGGCCCTGGTCCAGCACTTCATTGTAAATTAACCCCTGAGACCCCAGAAGCTGAGGGGCCGAGGAGACATTCGCTGCCTGCCAGTCTGGCGCTAGATCTGGTCCCTGGGGCCTCCACACCAGTCTCGAGGGCTTAGCCAGGCAGAGGCAGGGAAGGATTCTGGGCAAAGGGAAGGGCACGGGCAAAGGCCTGAGTTGGCACTTTATGTAAGTTTGGTCACTGAATCTTCCCAGCAGTCCTTGAGGGAGGCCTCACTGCCCCCATTTTGCAGATGAGTAAGTGGAGGCTCAGAGAGGTGTCATCACTTGTCCAAGGCCATGCCAGTTCCTAGCCCCATGTCCCCAAGGCTGTGGGGCCTTGGGCAAGTCCCTCTCCTTACTGGTAAAATAGGGCCATTGCTGGCATCCCACTGACCCCCCCCACCCCCCCAACCCAGGCCTGGTGGAAGGGCCATTGAGATGACAGGCTTCTGCTGGGACTCACCGCTCAGGTGGTATTCAGCCACATCCATGGCCACGATGCCCACTGAAGCAGCTGGGCCTGGAAGGGGAAAGAGAGTCAGCAGAGGGGGCTTTGGAGGGCCACCAACCCCAACCCTATGCCTTGACCTTCCTGATGCCCATGGGCCTTCCGGAGCTCACATTCACTTGTGAGGAGAGCTCAGCCCAAGGTAGGTGGCTTTTAAATGGCATTTTTATTTTTTTAAAAATGATTTTATTTAATTATTTTTCAGAGAGAGAGCGAGAAAGCGCACACACAAGTTGGGTAGACGGGAGGAGGGGGCAGAGGGAGAAGCAGGCTCCCTGCTCAATCCCAGGAGTCTGGGATCATGACCTGAGCTGAAGGCAAACGCTTAACCGACTGAGCCATCCAGGCGCCCATTAAATGGCATTTTAAAAAAATGGTGTTTAAAGCTCTTTTCAACCACTCTAAGACCATCTTAATTTCCGGGTTGCCAGATAAAACACAAGATGTCCAGTGACATTTGAATTTGATTCATTTTTAGTATAAGTATATCCCAAATATTGTCTGGGACATACTTATACTAAAAAAAAAATTATTCATTGTTTATCTGAAACTCAAAAGTTCCTGGGCATCCTGCATTTCTATTTGCTAAATCTGGCACCCCTACCTCATTTCCATCCAACCAACTTCCTACCAGCAACAATTCTTTGATTCTTTGCTACTCATTAGTGTGGGCCCTTGGGGTGTTTGCTAAGCCTTACTCCAAAAGCTTTTGTTTCAATTGGAAAGGAAAGGCTGCATTTCTGTAATATTCTATTATCAGTCCTTTCACTGCTCAGGATGGTTTCCTCCCCACCCCCACCCCCCCAATTCCAAGTTTTATGGATGTTGAAGGTCTGACTTAGTTGTTCTAGAAAGGTCTGGGAGTCATACAAGCCATTACCTGAACCCGGGTGACTGCTCATAGTTTTATTACTGTTGCTGAGAAGTAAATTTGTCTCACAGACATGAGCTAAGGGAATGGAAAAGGGAGACTGGGATAACCCTATGGGCCTCAGCTCCAGGGGCACGGGAGGATAGGAGAGCCCCGCCCCCGCCAGAGGTGGCTGCAAACAGGTCAGGGTATTGCTTGCCCACCCAAGGGCCACTGTTTTTCTGTTCCTGCAGGAATGCCAACCTAGCATTGCTGGATCTTCTGGCTTTATATGATTTTATTTTATTTTAAAAATATTTTATTTTCAATTAATCTCTACACCCAATGTGGGGCTCAAACTTACAACCCCGAGATCAAGAGCTGCGTGCTCTACTGACTGAGCCAGTCAGGAGCCCCAGTCTCCTGGCATTTTATTTTATCTCTCTCTCTCTCTCTCTCTCTCCCTACCTACCTACCTACCTACCTTCTGTCTTTTTAAAGAAAGGCCAGATACCTGGACTTTTTAATGTGCAGTTTCTTGATTTTTAAATGTTGTAACTAATTCACAAAAAATGTAAACGCTGTCCAGCCACAGAGTAAAAGGCTCCTGGGCTGTGGCTTGGCTAGCCTGTTTGCAACCCCTGGAAGGATCCTGTGGGTTCCCTTGGGGACTGGGGTCAAATCAGAGGGTAAGCATTTTCCTGAATCCTGGGGTTCTCCCCAATCTATGGCTCTAGAGCCGAGAAGTTCGGGTGCTTTGGTTCAGACAGGGTTATCCAGCACACACTGGAGTGCCAGAAGTCTCAGGGCAGGAGGCCTTCAGAAATGGGGCAGGACAGAGCCCTGGGGCAAAGGTCTGTCAGGTGCCCAGACAGCTCCCTTGCTCCCAGCTACCCTGATCATGATCCTGTAAGACGTGGGTCTTCCATGGTGATAGAAGGGAGGTATTAACCAGGGAGGCTTCACTGATGCTGACTCGAATGGGGAGCTCATCCCTGGGACCCTGGGCTGTCGATCTTGATGACAGTTAACCTTGATGAGCACTCTTTATGCCCGAGAACACGGTTCTAAGCATTTTGCATATATATTAACTCATTTAATCCTCTAACCACCACAGGAGGTAGATACTATTACCATTTCCGGTTTGCAGAGGAGAGACCTGGGGCCCGAAGGGAAAATCATTTGCCCCAGACCACACAGCTAAGAAACCAGTCAACCCGGGCCATCCGGCTCCACACTCCTAACTTCGTGCCTTACTGCAGACAGGCATATGGTTTCTGAACTTTCCTAAGAACGTGCAGGCCAAACTGGTCACTGTGGACAAGTCCAGGGTGGCCCTAGTTCCCGGCAGAACAGGGTCTGGACACACCAACACACACACATTAAGGTGAACACACATGTCCCAGCCCACCTCTGCCTTGCTGGGAATCTAGTAATGCCATCAGCTTTCTTTCCGGCTCACTTGGCACAAGGCTGACTTCCAGAGCGAGGCTGCCCGGGGACAGCCAATGCCAGCAGCAGGCTGGGTACACCCCTGTGGCAAGTACCACCTGGTATGGGACAGAACCCCGTATCTGCTCTATCCGACCTAGAGCCGTTGAGGGGCCCCCAGCCCTCCGAGGCTGGTCCAGCTCCGACCCCAAACTATCACACTGCCCACTTTTCCCACACCCCTCATTCTAAGACCCCTTCCCCAGGAGCTGTAATTTCAGTGAAAGTGTGAATGATTCTAGGCACACCCCAGCCCCAAGTTTCTGCAGTGGTCCCCAGGGAGGTGGCAGAAGCCAGACCACATCTGCCTGGAGGGAGGGAGCGAGGGAGGGAGGAGAAAACTGGGGTGGGGGAGGGGGTGGGCAGCCTGAGCACAGCTCTGAATTCCAGATCTTTCCCCTCACTAGCTCTGAGCCGCAGTCATCCCATCTGTAAAATGGGGCTCATGACTGCCTTATCAGGGTGCCAGGAGGGTAGAATGAAAAGTAAGGGTAGTCTGGCTTGGTAAATATTAGCTGCTGTGGTTACTGGGCCTGACAATCGTCCCAAAGGCCCCCAAACTAACCCCTAGTTTGGGCAGGAGAATCGTGGGGGCCGCACTGCCAGCCTGCAGATATGTTTTATTTGTCTTCAATCAAAGGGAGTTGCCAACATTTAAAAACTGGGAAAATTCCCATTAAAAATAGATTTCTAAAAAAAAAAAAAAAGCTGGATTTACAGCTTCCCTTTAGAAGTTAGAAGATCTGGGGGCAGGTGGGTTGGTCTCCCTCCACCCCTGCAAAATTACCAAACTGTGAGTAGGCTCTGCCCCTTCGGACAGGGTATTTATTCCTCAGGACTGGCCCCTCCCCTCCCTCCATTCACTTCCAGAACTTGCCGGCCCCTGGAGCATCTCCATTCATGAGCCCGGTAAGCAGGCTTTCGGATGAGCTATGAGAGGTCCAGAAAGGTTCAGTGATTTGCCCAAAGCCACACAGCCAGCAGTCGTAGAGCTGGTCCTGCAGCCCTACCCCATTAGTAGCCACAGCCCCCACGGATTTCACATGTGACTCCCGCAACACCTCCCCCAAGACCCCAATGGGGCACAGCCTATTATTTTTTTTTTTAAAGATTTTTTATTTATTTATTTGAGACAGAGAGAATGAGAGACAGAGAGCATGAGAGGGAGGAGGGTCAGAGGGAGAAGCAGACTCCCTG